AAAAGATCCCGGGCCTGGGGCGACCAAGCCCCCCCTAGGAGGGCAGTTTGGAAACCCCCGCGCTCGAAGTGGCCGTAAAATGGAGGGTGGCTCCTGGAAATGTGAAAAAAAGCTGAGTTATGAAAATCGAGGCTCACTGTTATGAGGGCTAGTCACGGAAATGCGCGAGGTTGCCGTTTTTAAGGGGATCGACCCGAATGGAGGTGTTCGGAGGATATAGGCAATAATGGGCCTCCAGACAAATTATGAATTGAAGCACTGCGCTACGTGTTTCCTTTTCCAAATTTTACAAGAAAAACAAATCGCACAGCGGGAAGTCGGGAAATCGATTTCTAAATAAGATTTACGTATTACAGGGTATGGATTCTATCGACATGCACGGAGAAAAAAACTTCGTTCGTGGGACCCGAAGTTTAGGTCATATGGATCTCTGCGGTTTTCGGATTGAGCAGCTGAACACTTAAGGTTTAGCTGCCGAAGTTCAGGTCAGACATCTGGAACTTCAGTTCTTCCATCTGAAGTACTTCAGTTCTTACATCTGAAGTACTTCGGTTCTCATATCTGAAGTACTTCAGATGTAAGAACTAAAGTTTCAGATGCCTAACCTGAACTTCCGCAGCTAGACCTTAAGTGTTCAGGTGCCCAATCCGAAAACTTCAGAGATCCATATGACCTAAACTTCGGGTCTCACGCACGAAGTTTTTTTCTCTGTGTGAATCGATTGAAAAATGAAAATGCGAATCTATCGGCTCCGATTCGTTCGACAACTGTGAATCGATCGATAAACCCGTGAATCGCTCGACAAACCCGTAAATCGATCGACAACCCCATGAATCGATCAACAAAAGCTGTGAGTCGATTGACGAACCTGTGAATGGATCGACAAACTCGTGAGTCGATCGACAAGCCCGAGAATCGATCGAATTTTGTCGATCGGATTGATTCACGATTGATTTACGTCAATCGATTCACGTTTTCATTTTTCGACCGATTCATGTTGATCGAATCGACACTGGTTTTTTTTTAAATTAACTGTCAATGGAACCGGTGTCGATTGATTCACGTCGATCGCGGGTCTTTTAAGGCACTTTGGGCAAAATTACGTGCAATCCATCGGCCAACAAAATAATTCATTTCCTTCTGATTGCGAGTAAAAAAAATTAAAATAATACCTCTAGTACTATATCCAAAACAAAACAGTACAATTAAATTTCTGAGAGATAGATGCTGTTTTTTCACTTCAATAGTTAGCTACATTGATGCTCACGATAAGGGTTGGGCTACCATTGTCGGTTATCAAGGCATCCTTTTTAATTGAATCAACCATTTCGATCGTATTCATCCATTTGAACGTATTTCTGCAAAACGGAACTATGCAAATTGAGCCATGAGCCATACGATCCTTAAGAATGTGTGCACAACAGGGCTCCTTGCAATACTGTAGTTCCGCTTGGCAGAAATAATCCATTTGGAAGGTTCTAAACTGCAATTCAATGTTATGAGTGAATTTTATTCGTCAAAGGCAAATGGAAGATAGTATCCATGTATGTATGCTGTAAAATAACAGCGTCATGAAAGTTTCAGCCATAAATTGTACATTTCTCGGCGATTGTCTAGTAGCAATGACAGTGACATACTAAGTAAACTGTCAGAGCGTGAATGTGCCCAATGACGCAATTTCCCCTAAAAAAGTTCCGGTTTTTTTTAACGTTTCTTTTCTAACTTTTTGTTCTTTTGCGAATGCATTCATACCGTGACACTAATGTCTCTCCCAGTCACTTTCCTCGGCGGCAAAAAGACAGTAAAGGTGGAGCGACAGAGGAGGTTGATGCGTTTAAAACTTCAGGAATACTACCGCGCTAAGGAAGAACGCCGTATGAGCCTTCAGGCGTTGCCAAGTTTCCCTCGATAAAAACCGAATTTACTGAGAAAATTGTGAATGTTTTACTCAGAAATTTTTAGACAATTTTGTACGCAATTTAATCTAAAATATCTGAAAATTTCAAAGAAAAACATGCATGATTGTCGTCAAAAATACATGTTTTATCAAGGGAAATTTGGCAACTCTCGGATGCTCATACGGCGTTCTTCCTTAGCACGGCAGAATATGGAAAAACATTTTATCAAACTACGCACTTTTCCAGTCCCCTGCTTGACGTCTCGCCGTTGACGGGGTCCGTATGAATTAATGGATTTGACGTGGGTCGTGCTTAGAGCTAAGCTGCCGCATTACGCTCTGTTAAGAGTCATAAGAGGAGTCTATGGTGAGCCTTGAAACGCATAAGAACATGTGCTGACCATAGCTCATACAGAAATGCACTTACGCGGTTCCGCAGCGTGGCGTGCTTTGCGATGTATCGATTAATCTGCCGATTGAACCTATGGAAAAATATCGATAAACAGGGTGTTTGTAACAATCACCTTAATAATCGATTCTTCACCATACCTTCAAGTGTTAAAATATGACAGCACGTCACGCCGTTGTAGAGGTGGACTCTCAAAGTATAGTGTGGGGCATTTCCTCCATTACGACCTGAACTTTGAGATCTTCTTAAACTTAAGAATTATGATTTCAGAGAGACTCAGCGGCACGATTGAGTTTCTTTCGAAATTTCAAAAAAGATTAAATACTTAAATCGCAAATCCCTGACACCTGAAAGAACGCCAGCCGTATGATAGAAGCACGCTGCATTTTCCTCATGCACAGTGCACCTGACTGTCAATACGTCGTTTCCCTTCCAAAATGTCGTAACTCAATTTTGATGTTGCCAAATTTCCCCTCTTAAATTCCATGGAGGCCAGGAAAATTTTGGGCATTTCTACTTGAAAATTTCACTGACTTTCTCTCAGATCCCATGCAAAAATCAGAAACAATTGAATAAAACTTGCACAGGAACTTCTTCGTTGTATAAGTAACTATAAATTAATTTGTACATTAACTGTTCAGTCAGTTTGGCAACCTTGAATGGAGTTGTGTTTCTTCGTCTGACAGAGGACGAATATACAGGGTGTTCCAAAAGTCCCGCTCCCCCCTCTAACTTCTGAACAGTTAGAGATAGAAAAATGAAAATAGGTCAAATTTGACCTTTGACCTATCATAACTCGGTCAAAAATTAAGATGTTGATGTACAGTTAGCGCCAAAAATCTTAGTTTTTTATGTTCCTCCCAATGATGTGTCCCAAGATAGGGGTTACCATTTGAGAAAAAAAAGATGGGGGCCCTCCACTCCCCTGAGGGAGGGCCAAAATTGTTGACCCCCCTAAAAGATGGTCCCCAGAAACATTCCTAAAGTTTCGTTTTTCTATCTCTAACTGTTCAAAAGTTAGAGGGGGCGGGACCTTTGGAACACCCTGTAGAGACAGCTAAGGCGAATCAATCCCTTAGATATTGCAACTTTAAGGAACGGAAAGCCAGAGCCTTTACGAGATTGACTCGATGTTTACAAACGCGGTAAAATGCCCCAGACTACCCACTACGTTTCCGATTTATGCCTCCTCACTACCGACGCACGGCCCCTCTCGCGTGTTCGTCGTTACGGTTTGCGGTTATTTGCTCTCTCACATTTACGTCATGGCGACGCTTTCCCGGAGAATCTCTCCCACGGGAAAGTTCACCAGCGACGGAGTGTGAATAATCGAGTATCGATATTTCCCCATTTGAAGCTATGATGAAGAATCGATCGTTGCGAACGACCTGATTATCGATCCTTTTCAATAGGTTTAAACGGCAGATCAATCGATATATCGCTAAGCACGCCACGCCACGCCACTGAAGTTGACGGGAAGAATTCCGACTAAGTAATCCAATAACTTTTGGGTGGAAAGGAGGAAAGCGGTGACAGGTTTGAAGGGCGTTTTTCGTAAAAGTGCGATTGGTGAGGTGCTCCAGAGTTAACTTTCGTCGTTCTCGTGGGGTGAGGAAGAAAACTTCGAAAAATGCTCGGGAAATTCCCGCGGTTCAAAATATTCAGCACCTAAATATTAGAGCCTCATCGCTTTAACATAAACAAAACTTCGGCACGGACCAAATTGGTCTCTCGCAGTGCGTGTAGACTTTTGCCGTGGGCTTGGAATAGCGCTGCGTGCGGGACCAAAACTGATAAAAGGTAAAATTAAAAATCAATCACCTTCTATTATTTTATTTATTCTTCTTTCTCTGTTTTCTTCTAGTTTTTCCATTCTTTCTCCTCTCTTCATTTTTTTACCCATTGATATATTTGCTCTTTAATTCTTGCATCACTTCTTTTTATTTTCTCTATGTTCCTTCTTCTGCTGCTTGTTCCCCTTTTCCTTTTTTCCCCTTAATTTTGCAACAAAGCCTCCCTCCACACATTCTCTTCATTTTATTATACACTACTTCATTTTACTATTTTTGGTAAATACCTTTAATTCTTAATCATCGTACCATCTCCCCACCCCCCGTCAGTCGGAAAATGAGGTAAAAGGAAGGTAAAGTGGAATCTAAAGAAGTTGATCGCAGCTAGACTATGATTTGTAGAGACTCCAGACTTCAAATTAAAGCGATGATATTTTTGATCATATACATTGCCGAATGACAAGTGATTAATGTGAAGGTGTGAATTTTGACTGTCAAATTCGTGTAAATTAGGTAGATTTGCTAGACCAGTAGTTCAACTTTTTGGTCAGCAGTCTATATCGGGCAAATCTGAGAGCTGTTTTCGAATATAGTAACTTTTAAAATGAAAGAAAACTATCAATGCTGTGTCTTTAAAATGTATTACCTTTGATCGCAGCCTTGGAAGTTGAAAAAGTGTTCTGCCAGCACCTCTTGCTAAGAAATGAGGTCAAGGTCACAATGTAAGGGTGAATAAACGAAGGTGTACTGGTGATCGAGTTCAACAGATTATGATCAAATCAAAAGCACAGAATTCCCCCAAAGTGCATCTTCCGTATGCTCTAGCATTAAATCAATGAATGACACGCAGAGACAAAAAAGGAGATTTAGAAAGTTGATTTTCATTATCAAAAAGTTACAGTCCATGAAGTAATATGAGGTTCCTTACATGCGACACCTGACTTTCAGTCTCTTTCGTGGCTGCTTTGACGGCGTGGTTTGTTAGTGTGATAGACAAAATATTAAAATGGTTCCACATCAGATATTCTTGACGACTCCTCTGGGCCTTGTGTCTTTTTTAGTAAGTGAAGTATCATTAGTTACATTTGTTATTTTACTCTCTGCAATTCAAGATTTTAAGAGGAATTTTAAAAGATGCAACACTTCTCTATATTGAGTAAGAAACTTTGATTCACATTGAATAGAAAAGTTTTTAGTCTAGGTATTTGATGTTCTCAGTCATAGGGAACTGAACTTCAATTTTGTTAACTAAAATATTGTGTTAGTCCAACAAAAAATCCTATTCTATAAGTAAGACTACGCTTATCTGGACTGAGATTCGGTTCTTAGAACTGAAAACGTCGGTTATTTTTGGACTGAAAACATCAGTGTTCCGCATGAAGTGAAGTTCAGTCCTTGTAATCAAAGTTCTTTCATCGCGAGGCGTAAGTTTTAACATTGTATTGTTTAAAAAGCCTAAGATGGATGAGCCAATCCCGAGTGGAACTTTCAGAAACTGTACCCTGCCTATGAAGGCACTCTAGTTTGCAGAATCAAATAATTAGATACATGAATTTCCATACGTAGATTAGTTCTGGTAAGTTGACTTATAGGTGCACTTCTGTAAAAATATGATGAAGAGTTTTCTTCAATTAACAACAGGTAAAATTATTTTATTTTTGTAGGGATCGTAAAGCACCCTAGGAAGTGCTATAAAACGATTTATATGTATGTGTAATATTATTTTATTGAAATAAACTGAAAGATCAAGTTTACACAATCAAAAACTGATACGAAGGGAGTTTTTTAACGCAGATTAATTTGTTAGAAGGTGAAATAAATAAAAAATAGTGAAACTATAGACGCTGGCTCTTTCAATAATTTCCAAAGGAAGTCTTTCATATATGCATTTACCTGTTCCTCGTGATTTTTCTGTTTAGGCTAAAATTTGATAACCGATCGTTTCAGTATTACATTTAAAACTCTTTTTTCCATCAGGCTTCCTCCTATTTCTGTCGATTTTTTTCTAATGGTTTCAGGGACACTACTTGTTAACCTATGGGAACGGTTTTATCATAGACCAAGAGCGTCAACCTAACTTCAGGGTTCACATGACGAGACGTAAATACTTCGTGGACAAAAGTCACTTCATTAAAGATGTAATGGAGGATCGTGCACTGATCACAGCCATCGCGAGGCCGAGAAAATTCGGAAAGAGTATTAATCTTTCGATGCTGTATTATTTTCTGACGGTGAACGGACGATATTCTCAACTGTTCCAAAATCTTACAATTGCAAAGGATCGGCACTTCTGTCGCATGCACCAGAACAAACACCCGACTATGAGCGTGAGGTTTGGTTACAATTATTGGATCACGTATGAGCAAGCCATCGACGGAATGAGGCAGGTAAGATTTAGTGACCCACAGAGAGAGATACACTTCTTTGCAAATTCGCCATTGATACATTAAATGCAAACAGTTTCTACAAAGGTTTTTCTATTAAATGCGAGACAATATCCTTCATAAATGTTCAAAAAGTGGGGGACTCTGCACGGCAATTGGACTACATTTAGCAATTTGGAACTATAAATTCTAGCCCGGTTTAAAAACAACATAATTATGTGCCATTAGCTTCCCTATGCACATAAGTGTTTTTCAGAAGAGCCAGAATTCATAGTTCCAAATTGCAAAATGCAGTCCAATTTATGATACAAATATTTTAACACCGTTGTGAGCGGTGAAGTATCGCCCGAAACTGAAGGCGTTTCCGACCGGTGACAATAGATTAACGTATCTTACCACAACGCGTGCCCCGTATGCAGTGGCGAGGCGTGAAAGATCGATTACCGATATTCCCCGATTTGAAGCTATGGTAAAGAATCGAGTATTAAGGTTTCGTTGCGAACACCCGGTTTATCGATCCTTTTCCTAACCTAGGTTTAAATGGCAGATCACTCAATGTATCGCAAAGCACGCCACGCCCCTGGTAGTTTGCACACTCTCGGAAATTAGCTTACTCTACTCATTCCATTCATAAATTACCATTTCGATTCCAGGTCATGCACAAGCTGTTCCTCCGAAACAGATACGTCATAAAAAGTGTCAACATAACGGAGCCCGAAAAACGTAAATTCGAAGTCATCTTAAACAAGAACGGCACACACGACGAGACAATAGATGCAATCCGCCTCATGACAGACCTGATGTCCCGCTACCATCACAGCCGCGTCATCTTGCTCGTAGACGCATACGACACGTCGATAAACAGGGCCTTTTTCCACGGCTTCTATTCGCAAATGGTTACTCTCATGCGGTCCGCACTCCAACGTGCCATGGAGAGAAACCCGTTTCTACTCAAAGCTGTCGTCATGGGCACCACGTTGGTTTCCTACCACGGCCTCTTCCTGGGCATCAACTTCGTCGAAATCCATTCCGTCTGGAGTCCCAAATACCAATATTGCTTCGGCTTCACCGAGGAAGAGGTGAAAAAGGTCCTCCTCGACCACAACTACAACGAGCGTGCTTTGGATAACATGCGGGAGTTTTACGAGGTACGATGGGAAAATTTTACTCGGAAAAAGAAAATTTCGGCCGTAGAAGCTGTACTTACGGGCTATGTAGACGTACCATCAGCGTTCCGGGCTCAGAGACCAAAAGTTCTGGGCGTAGCACCCGAAGCAATCGAGGCTATGGCTCCAGCACCCGGAACTTTCGGCCTCTGAGCCCGGAACGGACGGTATGTCTAAATAGACCGTAACTTTTTTTTCAGTGTAATAACTTCATAGTGAATCCCTGAGAGTGGACTTTACACTAAGAAGAGAGAGAGAGTTTAGTCATTTAAATTGTCAGTATGGTGTTCTGTATAGGTCGATCTATTTGCGGTTCCTTATCCTTTGAGGACAACTGTTTTTTCCGAATGATGGTTATTGACAGGCAATCTGTTGAGGAAAAAATCAAAAGTCACCTATTGATGACGAAGAAATGACAGAGTGAGAAATTTTTCCTACAGCAAGTCCTTGCAAATTAGGCCAGGATTGCTGAATCAGCCATCAATAGGCGATGAGTCGTGAATTCCAAAAGTAACTTATTGTTAAACCCTTTTCAAAAGGATGAAATGCAAAATATCTAAAATACTTTGTCTCTGCTCTGATACGGCTGAGTTTTTGACGAGATTACCCAAAAAATACATGTTCACATCAAATGTATACCTCAAAGAAGCCAATTTTCTGAAACTTTTAAGACAATAAGACCCTTTGAAACCCTCCCTTGTACTAGAGTGTAAACTCCTGGAAAAGTGGAGGCAAGGCCAATCCTCGAAAATTGCCACACTGGAAAACCGTAATTACAGTCTATGTAGACATTCCTTCAGTACCCGGCTCAGATACCGAAAGTTCCGGGTGCTGGATAGCCGTCGTTTTGGACTGCATTGAGTTCAGTCATTAAACAACTGCTGAGACTTTCGGCCTCCGAGCCTGGAACGGACGGTACGTCTATAAAACCCGTAAGTACGGTTGTCACAACCGGCACTTTTCCCAAATCAGGTAATCTCATGGAAATACTCATATAACTTTGCGTGTCATTGCTCTCTACGGCTTCGTCTTTTGTAGGGCTACTACATTGGCAACAAGAAGATGTTCAACCCTTACTCGGTAATGAACTCCCTACACAGAGACGGTCAGACAATCGCGATCAAAAATCTCTGGGTCAAGTCGGCCGACCCGATGGATTTCATCGATCTGATGCTACGTCACGGGATCCTGCCGATCCTCAACGCGGAGATACTGCTCAGCGGCCAGGACATCTATAAAGTCGTGACCGCGGCCATCGAGTTGCCGAAAATCAAGGACGATGAAATGACCTTCTGGTCTTACCTCACGCAGACAGGGTACCTTGCCATCAGCTCGCAGACAAGGAGGAGCACCGGAGAGGCTTTGCGCGTGCCGAATCGGGAAGTTGCTCTGGCTTTCAGAAACGCCGTCGCAGCTTACTATAAGCACTTTAACACGACGCCTCAGTATGAAGATTTCAGGAGCAGTCTGAGAGACAGGAATTCAACCGCAATTAAGGTAGGCTTACTAGAATTAAATGTTTTCACTTCGTTCAAAAACGAAAAAAAAAAAAGAAAAAAACAAGCGGGAAAGTTCTAATACTGTCGTATTGGAAAAGCGCTCAGGTGTTAGTAAATGTAAACTCCAAAAAACCCAAAAACTTGGGTAAAGAGACTCCGGGCAAGTCACCATCCTCTTGCCAAAAACCTCCAAAACCTCTTCTTTGTTCCCCTCTTCTGTGGAAAAAGAAAATATCACACTACGACAGTTTCCATTTCTGTCATAGAGTACCCCAAGCGGACCAAAGAACGGAACTCTTAGTCGTTTACACATTTACCTATTTAACAAAATCTCCAGGAGGTCACAGACAGGCTGGCAGCCCCTCATCGGACCAAAACGCACACCGTACCATTTTTTCCTTGTAGGTATGTGCCTCCAAAGTACATGAAATGACTCCTTGAGGGGCGGGCAAGTTTGATTGAAATTCACGTTGTCTTCTGAAAATGAGCTAAAATTTTTACCTTGAAGAAGAAGAAAATCGAGTTATCATTTTCTTCCATACACGGTAGGTATGCCTATGAGAGGCACCAGGAACGCCTTCCAAAATTATTGATGCAACCCGCACGACTCCGAAGTCAGCGGAAACTTTCTTGAAGCGTCTCCTAAGATTTTCCCCACGCAATAATCCCCTTCAAAAATGAATGATGCAACAAGCGCGTCCTGTATGACCGCGAAAGCTCCTCAGATGAGTAGTCTTTTGGTCTGGTCAGAAAAATATTCAAACTTTATTTTTCGTCTTCTCTTCTCATTTCCCGCATTGACGGAGGCGAAATTTTTTGGAAAGCATGACGCGCCCGGCCCAATGCTCTCACTGAGGATCAACCTGTAGATAGACTGCTAAAAATATTTAGGAAACAGATGTTCGGGCTCACTGAGAATGAGGCCAATTTCCGAACTGATAGTACGGGATCAGAATGGAAAAAATCAATAATGACTATGAGGAGGCTTTAATTGCACACTTCCAATAAACAGTACCGTCTTTGTTGCACAAGTATTCCTTAACGATCATTCATAATGGAAGGCCACATTCTATTCGCACTTTTTTTTACGCATTGGGCCGGGCGCGTCATGCTTTCCAAAAAATTTCGCCTCCGTCAATGCGGGAAATGAGAAGAGAAGACGAAAAATAAAGTTTGAATATTTTTCTGACCAGACCAAAAGACTACTCATCTGAGGAGCTTTCGCGGTCATACAGGACGCGCTTGTTGCATCATTCATTTTTGAAGGGGATTATTGCGTGGGGAAAATCTTAGGAGACGCTTCAAGAAAGTTTCCGCTGACTTCGGAGTCGTGCGGGTTGCATCAATAATTTTGGAAGGCGTTCCTGGTGCCTCTCATAGGCATACCTACCGTGTATGGAAGAAAATGATAACTCGATTTTCTTCTTCTTCAAGGTAAAAATTTTAGCTCATTTTCAGAGGACAACGTGAATTTCAATCAAACTTGCCCGCCCCTCAAGGAGTCATTTCATGTACTTTGGAGGCACATACCTACAAGGAAAAAATGGTACGGTGTGCGTTTTGGTCCGATAAGGGGCTGCCAGCCTGTCTGTGACCTCCTGGAGATTTTGTTAAATAGGTAAATGTGTAAACGACTAAGAGTTCCGTTCTTTGGTCCGCTTGGGGTACTCTATGACAGAAATGGAAACTGTCGTAGTGTGATATTTTCTTTTTCCACAGAAGAGGGGAACAAAGAAGAGGTTTTGGAGGTTTTTGGCAAGAGGATGGTGACTTGCCCGGAGTCTCTTTACCCAAGTTTTTGGGTTTTTTGGAGTTTATATCATCTCATTTTTTGCAAGAAAACTGTTATTTTACCAAATGAAGTCCCCCACTTGTGAAGGAATTGGATTACATTTTGCAATAAGGAACCATTACCTCTGGCTCTCCCATAAAAGCACATATCTGCATAGGGAAACCAAGAGCATGTATTCTGTTTCTAAAATGGACCAGAAATAGTGGTTCCTAATTGCAAAATGTAATCCATTTAATGCTTATAGCTATGAAGTGGATATCTCCTTGCTAAGTAGCAAAGTTTCTCGGGTCCGTCTTATTTTTTTACACCCTTGAGTGTCATTTTTAATTAATCAGTTCAAAGCCATTTCGACGATTAATCATTAATTGTTAGATCGAAGAAGAAATTTTCTTCGGAAAGCTATGGCTGAATTGACTTTACAACTGAACTTGTGAGAGCATCAACTGAGGCAAATTTTGCAGAAAGTTATACATGGTAAGTGATAATTACTTCAACCCTGTCTTAGTTTTAAAAAGAGATAAGTTTTAAAAATCAAAATCTACTCAACTGTAGATATCCCTGAAAAGAAATACGATTGTAGAATCCCAAGAAAAGAAAAAGAAGAAAGAAAAGAAATACGAAGAAATCCAATGATAAATCGCAACTACGGGAGGTACTTATTCAAATTAATTGCTCTAAAAATTGTTCCTTCAATGAGTAAATAGGCAACATTCTCAACACTACAATGCAATAGAAATAATTTGACCATGGAATTGAAATTTAAAGAAATGTGTGCTGCTTGAGTAATAGAAGTTTGGAAATCAGGGCATTCAACAGCTTCCCAGACCTCATTAGTGTAACAATCTAAAAATTGTGAGGATCAAAAGTGTCAAGCTCTCAGAATTTTTGTTCTCTGATTATCAAGAAGTCCTGATAGAAATGTTCAGTGTCATTTTTATTTTTGTTTGTGAAAGGAAATTATTTTAAGATTTTCTTGGTTTTCTTGGTGTCCTCAGAGACTCTGAGAATTGTTGTACTTTATTTTTCATCAAATAATGAACATTTTCAATGTAATTTTTGTCTATATTTAGTACATTATTCGATGATTATCTTCAGTGTGCATTAGATCTTTCCCCCAGCGACAAGGTTTACTGAAATTTTATGAGATCTATATCGTTCTCATAGGTACTGACCTGCTGCATGGTCAGTATCATCTTTGAGGAGTAAATGAAAACAAATTATTTTCTCTTGGTTCCTCAATTCAGGGCTCTGATGAATAAACCCTGTTTGACAACAATGTTAGTAGGTAAAATTGCTCCCTCCAAAATCCTTTAAGTAAGCGGTATCAATTTAGTGGTAAAGTTATCAACGACCCTCATTGAATCTCATCTGGTTCACTGAATTTCTGAGGGATAGATAGGGTGACAGGTTCTGTAAAAGTTAGGAAATTAAGCCTTCCTCACTGTGAAAATATGTCAGGTAGTTTTGCTGCGGAGCATTGAAATTCCTTCTCCCAGTAAAAAAATTGGACTTTTCAGTTTAAAGAGACTAAACACTTAAAATTAAGTCAAGTAAAAACTTGAAATTTTTGTGAAAAGAATTTTTATCTGAGACACCTAATGTCAAAAGAGGACATTCCAAAATCAGGGAAAAGTTAGTGACCACTACGCTTAAAATCCCAGAAAAGAATTTTCTGCGCATCGAAGTCATTAATTACACAATTTTCAGAAATTATGTTGAATTATTTATCAGCAGAGAAATGAAAAGACTCTGAAAGTCTTTGAGGATGAACTTTGTGGATTGCGGTAAGTAGTTTCCCAGTTTGGCCATGGTATTAATATATTCGTTTCGTCATTAATCATTATCAATAAAAATATATCCCTATCTACCGTAAATGTTGGAAAACCAGTGTGCATGTAATCTGGTAATCCTTAATTAATCAACTGTAGATTTCTTACCTGCTAAACTGCCTGATGAGTTGAAAAAAATGTTCACTTAGAGACAGATTCTTATGTCCTGGTTCATGCTTTCGTAAGTTGAGGTGCACTGTCAATTCCGTCGTATAGCTTTCAGCAGAAAATTTCTTCCTTGATATGACGTTTGATGAATCATCGTTGAGATAGCTTTGAACTGATTGATGATGAATGGAACTAAAAGTGCCATTAATCGATGAATCAGAGATCAAAGTAAGATGTGAAGCTATAAGAGCAGGGGTCGTAACGGACAAAAGGGAACGTCTGTTCTACGTGTCTTAACTGAGACTTATCTGAGAAATTTAGCGACACCGCACAGAGGTTTTCACTTCGTAATAAAGCTTAAAATTATTTATCACTGGAGGAGTTTCTTTGGTAAATTAGCATGCTTAAAGGTACATCCTGACGTGAGAGAAAAACAATGGTATTGGCACCTGAGCGTAAGTATGTATATCCTTGAGTGTTCGCGTAGAAAGACTCTTAACAAACATTCAACAAGGAAACAAAACTGGATGAAGGTACTGTAATACCTAATTTACTTTAAAACTGCTAAGAGAAGAACCAAAAGACAAATCTCACTTATCTTAAATGTATAAACACTTGGTATCGCTCAGAGAAACCTTGAGCGAAATGGACTCATATCCGTAGAATTTGAGGAGTAAAAAGGCTGTAATGCCAGAAAAATGTGAGCTTCACACTCTTGAATGGATTCAAGATCATATAATTTTAGTGAAGCGACTTTAAATCGCTTGATTTGAACCAAAAATGAAGAGAGAACAATGATAGAACAGAATGGTGAGGTTTTGAGTTCTAAGATTGGATATTCAGAATTCACTTCACAATGAGGCGATGGACTTCCTGCTCCAGGTTGTAAAACACGATGATAATGATTGTCACAAACATCGTTGAAGTCGTAAATGGATTGAAATCATTGAAACCAAATGATTTCATATTGTCTCGATCGTTCTTGATGTCCATGAAATAGCATACGAAATAGGAACTAACCTAACCTTCGTGATTTGTTTTGTTGTTCCGCTCGTGAGTTGATGACTGCAGAGAGCACTAACACTGTTACTCTACCGTGTGTATGTGTTAGTGAAGTCGGGTTTCATGATTTTCGAGTTGCTGTCCAAGATACAGCCTAATCGGTAAAAGTAAACCCCAACTTATGTATAATTTTTGGAATCCTCATATCTTCAAGATGATTCCAGGAAATAACCATAACTTCATTCCAGAATAGTGTAAGCGAGAAATTCAATGATAAGCGTCGGCGGGTCGGGTCGCCCATTGCACCCGAAAAGCAGTTTAGACGCAATATTTCTCTTAGGATGCCTTGGATATTAATGAAACTAAAATGCACACTACACGGAAGCAAGACAATTCTTTTGATATAACATTATATAGGGCTCTGATGTCTCGTATTCTCTATAGCTTATATAGAACGTGAAAATGGTCAAAGTGGATACTTTTCGCTATTTTAGGCACATATGCGTGATTATCTCGTTTAATAAATCATCAACCTCCTTGAAACTCAACAGTTCGTTAGACGGGACCGAGATGCATCTTTAGACACCAAAATTTCTGAAATCCGTCGCTCCGTTGCTTTGAAAAGCTTTTGGAACCGCAACTAAAAACCCAAATAAGCCAAGTTCGTGTAACTATGGTGTCGTTGCCTCGACCGGGCTGTGCTGTGTTGCCAATTGTTGGAGGATAGGTTACTTGCCCGGTGGTGGCTACCGCCACTCATGATTTAATGAAGAAAGGACGTATAAACTCCGTCGACTTGGCTGGGAAATGGAAATAAAACATCAGCTGATAGCAAACAAAGGTTACCCAGGAAACCGTAAACGCGTATTTTTGTTTCCCGAAAATGAGCTCACCGTTGAGCTCATCAGGCGCGTTTTTTTTTAGGCGCTGCCTATCGGCTGAGCGCTTAAAATCGTTCACTGGGACCATTATTGACATTAATAGGTAAAGAAGACAAAGAGGAAATGGGTTGAACCTATTAGTGGAAGCGGTTGGTTGCAGTGGACAAAATAGATAAGTGATAGACTAACTAACGAAAACCTACGAGGAAACATCCTAAAGGTAATTAGCCCATCAAATACCTTCTCAGTCTTCAACAACCACCCGTTTCAACCGATGGGAACGCTTCAATTCCCTCAAGCTGTCCATCGATTCTTCCATAGCTTTGTCTATCGCTTTGACGCTTTTGGGCAAATTTAGGGGGCGGCAAATGCTGCAATTTTTCAAATGTAGGTATCAAAAAAGAAAAAAAAAAAAAAAAAAAAAAAAAAAAAAAAAAAATCGGATTCAGAAAAAAATTAGGAACGAGAAAAGGCGACAAAATCTCTCATTTCCTGAGAGTTAAACTATAGTAATTTTTAATTTGTTCGTCTATCGATGATGCAAGAAACAGCGCCTTTCATTAGTCTAGTTGAGAGAGAAACCGGCGCGGCGCAAAGAGCAATGATGACGCGGACTTGAGATGATAAGGAGAAGCCCTCGGCGCGCCGCGCCAGTCAGCATGAAACACATATCAGCGCCTACAAGACTCCACGAAAACTTCACGCATTGCGTCAAACGTAGTGCGGTCAGCAACGGTTGGCGTGAAACTCATAGTGCCTACAAGACCGCATTAATACTTCACGCATTGCGTCAAAAACAGTGCGGTCCGCAGCGGTCGGTGTGAAACGCGTGGCGCCTACAAGACTGTAGGAATACTTCAAGCATTGAGCAAAACACAGTGCGGTTAGCGCGGTAGCAGAAATTAAAATTATTCAACCACATTCATGTTTATTCTTTCATAATTTGTTCGTTCATTTCTTATAAATGAAAGGCCTTGACCACACAGAGGTAAGTTTACGGAACTTAACTTTCGCGCTAAGTTCCGTGGACTTTGGCTAGGGTTGACAGGGTTTTCACAAAAAATGTGCCCAACACGAGTAAACGCGTCTTATGCACCCCTCCTCCTCCGGCAAGTTCACTTGATGATTTGTATCGAAGTTTCAAAACGAATGAGAAGGGGCGGCAAAATACAGGCGGCCCATGGGCGGCAAGTGGGTAAATCCCACCCTGAGACCAACCCATTTCTACCGAAAGGATTATCCATTTTTCCTTTGCCTATCGATTTGTCTATCAATGCCAATAACCAGCCCGCATCAGAGATCTCTCATGCGGCTCGAGTCGCAATTACAGAGTATTTAGACATAAACGTCACGTTCTAAAACTACAATTTATTAAGTTCAAAATTGCTCTTCATCTTAGCCTATAATAACACGGAAAAAATATAAACTGTTTTAGTATCTGGTAGTCTATTTGTTGAAATGTTTCGTTTGCGGATTCTCTATTTTCGTAGTTTAGTCCGATAAAATCGATGTTTAGATGTACGGGCAACTTAAATTTCGAAATCCGAGTGGTTACAACAACTGGAACTAAAATTTCTTGTTCGATTTTGAGTCAAATCAATGTTTGGATTTTACTCTGTTCAGGTCTGTTTGGAGGAATACGTCAACAAATCGACTCCATTCTTCCACGGAAGGAATCTGGCAGACTTTGAGGGGCTGATGACGGGGATATTACGAGGAGTTGAGAGGGACCACGGGGCTGTGACAAAACATCGCGAAGGGGACCACACCTCGACTCTCACCTTAGGACCTTGTGGTAACTCCACCGAGAAGCTGGTTTTCGTGTTGACCGAGGCAAAGGCTAAAAAAAAGGCAACGGATGCCAAAGTTGGAGTCAAAAAGATGTTTCTGAAATTCTGCCGCATGTTCCAAGGCAACGAGACGATCCTCTCTCTATCCATGTGCGACGGATTGTTCGAGCTGAGACTTGATGTGAAATAAGAGTTAGAGAGCAAGTAGTGTTACATCTTTCTATGAAAGCATTAGCGCTTAAATGGTAGCTAAATTTGCACACAATGTATGGAAACAGCGTCGTAGCCAACGTGCAAAAGAGAGACACAGATAGTGACACGGAAAAAAAGAGCATGGGGTTGTTGAATGACATAGACATTTCAAATTAACTGTGGTAGGACCTCAATAAATTAGGTTACTAACCCAAATGTTGCGGTATTACAACATTTAATCGGAAGTGTCCATATCATCCGACAATTCGGGGTAGTGCCACAATCTAAGTGGATAAACTATAGCACTTTTTCCGTGGATCTGAAGTAAAATCCTGCTATTTCGAAAATTGACGTAAAAAAGTGATCTAAGCTGAAGACTAATTAAAAGTGTAAAGCATAATTTGAATTTGCATTCGAACTATCTTTGATCACATTAAATGTGAATGTGTAGGTTAGAACGATGGGTATTTTGCAATGATCGGTCGGCTGCCCTTTTTATCTCTAACTTTACTTGTGAAGGCATCGGTGAAGGTCTGATGGCCTTTTGGAATATGGATGGAGAGGATAAAATCGTATTTTTGTGATCTTACAGAGTTTTCTGTCCTCTCTACACCTGAGTATTCTCAATGTGAGAAAATAAAAGGTAAACAGATAAGTTAAAGAGAAGTTCCTCTAGAGCAAAGTCTTTCTATGGAGAGAGCTCAGAGACAAATAGAGGCACTCCACCAAGACTAATCCGCACAGTTTAGTCTTTTTTGATGGTAAGTTTTGTAATCCTACTTCGCAACAACGGCAGAGAATGCAGTACATCCCTTCATGGAAACATTTGGGCATGATCCGATTGCGCACTTTTAGACTAAAAGTGCAATCGGATCAGCTTGTATGACTAAAAGTTTTAGTCATACAAGCTCAAGTTCGGCGAGGCAGTATGAATCAAAAATATACATAGTGACTGACCTGCGTAGATTGGCTATCCGCTACACTAAACCTCTTCTTGACGAGGGGAATTTTAATTTTAGTGATTTAACGTTTTTATATGGACTATCTATAATCCGTTACTTATACATATTAGATTAATAATAAGTGTGAAAAAGACTTGCATTATGCTTTTTATTCTGTAGCTTCAAAGCTTTCTATGCGTGATGAAGTTTTGAACATGTACACTCTCACGCAACTTGATTTACCAAATAGTAAGTTGAACAGATTGGAATAGTCATCAAGTGATCTGATTTTTCCCTATCATTTGTGCTTTTAATTCTAAATAGCTCGCGAAAATCTACTTTTATACGTGATGAATACTAGCCCTGGTAAAAATTGGCGATAAGAGCTGCGTTTCAAAATACCATAGGAATTCTTTTAGCCGGCTAAAGAAGGCAACAGAAAATCATATAGCTGGCTGTAGAATGCGGAAAAAATCAAACGGCCGGGCTAAGCGATAACATATTATGCAGCTGGGCTATAGTTCCAATCGCCGGGCTTTACACTTTATCGCCTGGCTGTTGCTTTTCCGTCATCGATCATAAAAGGCTATAAGAAATAGTGTAGAAATTCGTATGCTTTGGAAATCATTAAGTTTGATACGGAACTACCTCAATATTTACAAAACACACATTATATTTTCCTTTAATACATATTTTTTCTCATCAATGAAAATGAGAATAATAATGGATATGCAAACATTTCAAAATCATGAGTTGAATAACGCTGACTCCGCCAGATTAAATATTAGAGCCTAACACAAAGCGGAGCGGCGACGCACTGGCGCCTACAAACCTAACAGGGATACTTCACGCATTGCGCAACGCGTGAAGTATCCCTGTTAGGTTTGTAGGCGCCAATGCGCGTTTCGCGCTGGCTGCTCGCCTGCCGCGCCGCAGCGTGCCACGGCGCTTGAAGCAACTATTTCACACTAGAGGTATTGCACAGTATCATACGAGACTGAAGGCGCTCTAATATATTAGGAGTGTAATCCATCAAAAGTAAGGAGCTTTCCTTGCAAAATAAATCAAGATACTACGGCCCATAAAGAGAGCAGTAGTCTAAAAACTCACTAAGTCCTAGCATCCGTAATTAGTAACGTTTAGCATACACTTTATCGCCTTGCTGTTGCTTAATCGCCATCGGCTATAAAAGGCTATAAGAAATTGTGTAGCCGGCAATAGAGGCTATTGGAAATCTTACAGCCGACTGTAGGTCTATGGTATTTTGGAACGCAGATTCCACTGCCAATTTTTACCAGGGAACTCTGATTTCAACATTTTGTAAAACACGCGATAATGTATTTTTACCGTATTTTCTTAAATGTATGTTGTAAAATGCACAGTAATGTATATTTTGCAAGAATTGATAGTTATATTAAAACTGAACTAAATTTTACACTTCTGCTTCCTTCACTTCTCTGCATCATTTATGTTTCGAATATTTTAGACTTAGCATTCGTTTACGTCGTGCAAGAAATAGATCACTCACCGTGAACCGATTGCAGCTCCAGTAATTGTCAGTGTTTCATATTTGAGGTTGAACGAAACTTTCTCACAGGAGTTTCAGATCGTCATGGATCGTTGCAATTATTTGCCTCCTATTGAACTCACAGAGTAACGCAGAATAAAGATTTTTACTCCCATTAGATCCTACATTCTTCAGTTCAGTTACAAGCCGGAAAAGGTGGGGGCAAAAAGATAATGGTACGAAACATGGCTTGATACAACACTCGAAGCAGCACTTACAAGGCACCGCTCAAAAACTAGATGAATGACACATTGTAAAGGTAAATTACGTGAAACTTCCGGTAACAAATGAATTCTCAGATCAAAGTTATGTCAGATATAGAACTTCCTGAAAGTGCGTCATTATTATACTCACGCACGATGTAAAAACACAGCACACACGCACATAATGCTCCATTTATGTCTTCATAAAACGAGATTCGGGAAGTTGATTCACATTATCAAAATATAGAAATCTTTGAGGCAACAAATACAGAGTTTACAAAGTTTAATCGGCCCGACAGTCTGTTTTGAAACTCTGGCGACAAAGTAGTTCGTTAGGTGCGGTATAAACAATATTATCATGTACTCCGATCAGATGCTTTTTACGGCTTTCCTAACCTCTACTTCTTTACTAGTAAGTGAGAAAATAGTAACGTTTATCCTACCGGTGTTAGTACGTATACCTTTAAGCTAGAAAGTTTAACACTGAAATTTTGTGATCTGTCCAAAGTTTAATCTTTTCTCGGCAAAAACCTACGAAAGTTTTGAATTTTCAAAATTCGATTTTTCGAATCTTTCGGAATTTTTTTTTACATAGGAAGTGAAAAGAAAAATGATACTTTACGACTTGAGAACGATTTGTTTTCACAGATCATTACAAACAAAACAAGTTGGATTTTGCAATCGCTAGCGATAGCAATATTCGTCATGGGAACGTTAGCTTCTGGGATATGAAAATGTTAAGGTACAGTTCGTTTGTAGTATCTTCTGAATTGAAGGGGCTATGTAATTTTGTGTTGACATCTCTTTTTTAACATTTTTAATTATTTTCTTTGCATACAAGAAAGCTGTT